ACCCCCCTTATTTAATTTCCTAGTACGCGTGTGCAGACCCAAGGCAAGTAGAGATGAAATTTGAAACTCGATGGTCCTAGTTCGTATGGGACCATATAGTTAAGAAGGACTTGCCCCCACACCATAAAATAAACCAAAATAAAGGCACTCTGCATTAAATAGCTTTCAATTTCTGATTTGATCTTCATCACCTAATTGAACTCTCTCTCTCTCTCTCTCTGTCTTTCTCTCTCTGTCTCTGTGGCTTGAGTGTTTTTAATTTAATTAATTTCTATCAATTTTGGTACCAGCATAGCAAGGTGGTTGTCCTGGGACAGGCTGGTCCAATCTAATTTCATTTCAATAACTAAGCTCTTGTCAGCATTCAACATGCATACACTGCAGATTGCAGACTGGTTATATAGTTATATATATACATACACACGTGTATTAGCTGTGTAAAGATGCTCTGCGCACATGCATGGCTGGCCATACCATACTGATCAAGTTTTTCTTCCAAACTGCACCCAGACCACCAGTGGCAAGCCGAAAGCCTAAAGTTCTTATTGGGCCACTCAGACTGATACTAACGAGCCTGAACTCAAATCTTGGGTCGGCTCAAATAAGCCCAAAATCATTTGGGTAGGCCTAAAATTACCCAAAATCATTTGGGTCGAGGCAATTGGTAGGCCGAACTTAAATATCTAGGGTTTTGACTTGACTTTGACTAGAAGATGTGTTCAGAGACAATTGGACAAGGAAATGGGGCCAGTCACGTGTCCATGCTGATGGGAGGTTAAAAGCGATGTAATAATTCGTGGCAAATGGCAGCAAACGAAACAAAATCACTATTTTTGAGCAGGGTGAGTGAGTGAGCAAAGCAGCCAGCATCTACGCTACACAGCTAAGTTGATTTTTGGTCTTATAAAGCAAGCAAACTGAGATTCAGTGCAATACGCATAAGTTTCCTTTTTCCATTTGAATGACTAAACACTGCACAATGCCCTTAAAGTGGCCCTGCTCCTGCCCTCGCTATACATCGATCACACAAGTTTTATTCTTCCGCTAATTTAGAAACAAAAACTAACGAACGAAGCTTTGATTCAACTCAACATTAAACATATACCACGTAACCGTACTTCAATACCACACTATAATTACGCACACTTTCTTCTCTACGTGAGTGAGTTGACGAGAGAGAAAGAGAGTACTGTAAACTTAGATTCTTGTGTTGGTGGTGGCTATGGAAATTTACAATTTACAGTAGTGGAAAGTGTTGATACTTCTTTAATAAGCAAACACTTGGACCCATTGTCCACGTTGGGTGACGGAATAATATACCACAAAAGTTATATACCGGCTGTCCCACACAAGATCTTCTCATTATTTTCTTACTTATAATATAATTATAATATATATATATAGGGTCATCCCATCGCAAGTGTTTTTCCTTGAACTAATTAATTCCAAATTAAAACTTAATCAAACGATGTTAATCATATGGATTGGAGCACAAGAAAAGTTTGTCACTTTGATGCTGTTTGGTCATTGATCACAACATATGAGACAAAATTTGTTATGTTTGGTAAAATGTACAAAAGATGAACCTTTAAATCTTCATCCTCAGAATGAATTACTTTGACCAGAAAAGACAAAAGATAAACCAAATTATTCACAACAGAAAAGAAGGTTGAAAGATATATATGGATTCCAAAACTTATGCCTTGTCATTCACCAAACTCTGCGCAGTTGATTGAACATTTTTGTCTTCTAGAGATATCAAAGTTTTATTGATTCAGAAATGGAATGCCCTTCTTCAATAAAAACAAAATCATATCATATTAGATATTTTTCATAGCAGATCATCAGCAAGTTCTTTTGGACGTTCAAGGAATCGAGCTATCCTAGCTAGGGACATGTTCTTGCAATACCTGGAAATTACACAAGGGGATTTTTGAATCCGAGATCGTCAAGCTTTTCGTATATTTTTTTGATTGATTACAGTTTCGAACCTCTGACCACACCAATTAGCAACTAGCATGATGGTACATAATTAAGTTTTTTCAATTTTGAGAATATATATATACATATAGAATGAATGATTGTCTGAGTGAGCCCACCAAGCAATATGAGTTATTTAAAAAGAATATTTATGTGTGTAAAGCGCACTGAAGCAAGCATATTTACGGTTTAGGAAAAATCCCTAAAGATAAAAATAGTAAGTGTTGCATTGCATGTAGATATATATGTAAAATGTTGGTCGCCGAGAAAGTTTTGTTTGCCTTTAGTACTCCACCATCTTTGCCCAAAAAGAGCTGAAAGCACCATAAAGGTTTTGATAATTCATGTCAGACCCGAAAAGAAAAAGTTCATCGAGTATCAAGCAAATATGATATATACCCCCACGCAGGCAGTTTGGCGTTTCAATTGTTTCTATTTATTACTGATGCAAAAATAAACACAAGGACGAATATTTATATATTCTTTTCTGTTAGGTCAAATTCAATCGATAGGTATGTGTCACAAATTCAATCTACAGGTTGCTTCCAAGAGTGCTCTTGGGTTTAGTCCCCGCGTTATTTGTGTGTGTATGTGTGTTTCCACTTATGTTCATTCAAGTAAAAAAGTAGGAAAAAAGATATTGCATTAAAATTCAAATAAAACAAGACAACTAGAGCGAATCTATATACTTTTTTGTAGGTGAGAACACGATAGTCCGCGTTGAGGCACACTCTTAACAACCATCAATATAATGTGTCGGGAGAGTTTAAAAAAGGACATTGCTTTCCTATTTTTTAGAATAAGACATTCTTACTTCATGTAAATCACAGTGTGATACACATGCAAAAATAATTCATTAAAAACACAAAAATAAAAATCTCTACATACATATTATTAACGGAAAAGTAGGAATTTCTACTTCGAAGAAAGGAGGCAAGTATTTTCCTCACTCATCATCATCATGACCATGGTGAGACATCTTGTCCAAATATATAATTTGTTTCTTATTTGAATAGCAAGACGATACTTTGGGTGTAAACTTTTCTCTTTATTAAGTTCATATTGCTGAATGTGACAGTCCACCATATTCTATGCATTATTGACAAAAATCAAAATCCACCTATATATGCTTATTCCAAAAGGAAAATGAAGAGACTCGTAAATTATTATTATTATTATTATTATTATTATTATTATTATTATTATTTATTGTTTTGGTTAAAACACACTTTTCTTCTTCCATCCAAACAAAAAAATTATAAAACACAAGGGCAGTCTTAATAAGAAGATACACACAATTTAATATAGCAAACAAGTTGTACCAATAAAGCCGGTGCCCAAACTCCGAACAGCATTATGATTTTATAAGGCATTAGGAACATAAACTGAGGGCTGGACCCATCTCTCAAAGATGTCTCCAAAATTTACGTCACCCCCTCTTTTCAGTGTTTCGTATTCTTTACTCTTGATCTATGCATATCATCATTGTAAAACAATTCTTCTGTTTCTTCCCATATAATTTCTCTAAGATAACTCATTTTATTTAAGCATCTTCTCTATATCCAAAAATACGTCTCACAACAACACGCTTAATATACTGCGTTGGACTCTAATAATTTTTAAAAAAAATAGAGAATTTATAATTCCGTGACGTAAACGGTTCATTGCTAGCTCACTCGTTATCCACCCTAATTTTTCTAGGTTAATTTCAAAATTATGGCCACTCGATATTCATGATTTGTAATATAAAAAACTAAGCCTTATTAGTAATTGGTTTGGCCGAAGAGAAAAGTATATGTACTATGTAACTGTAACTACACGGGTTTTATATATATATATAAATGTATATGTTATTGACTAATTGGTGAGTGAAATTTTGGATTCATGCATGTAGTGTAATTCACTGCAACAAAAGCAGAAAGCCTTGGATGTACCTCAAGAAGAGAGGGGGTTCAGACTTCAGACTCAACCATTTCAAACTGAACCAGTAAATAAATAAATAAAAGTTACCTGATCTTTACAGGTTCACTTTGTTTTGTTTTTTGGTAAATCGACAGATTTACTTTCCGAGCGTACATGCATGATGATCATGAAAATTTGTCATTTCTCAAACACCTGACCATACAGTAGTGCTTAAATTTGCTACGCAGGATTTAAGGATATCTGTGATATTCCCACGGCCTTTTTATGCCCATTCAAGTAAACCTTGAAAAAGGAAGCCAGATAGAGACACCGGCAGCTAACGCTGACACTGCCAAGCAAAAGCAAAGAGAAAAATTACACAAATTTCAAGGTGAAAAAAACAGTGTCCTCAATAAAATAAGCATTACGTACGTATATTATTGGTGATTATAGGATAACTTTATCAGTGGGGTGAATGGATAGATCATGGATCATGTCATGGATCATGGTGGTAATAATTTTTCACAATAATAAACTAGATCTAGCTCTTACTTGTGCTTCTTAAGTGCATTTACTGTTGACTAAGGATGATAAATCCAGTCATATGATATGTCGTGTTCGCATCATGTCATTTTATGTTTCGTGCCGAATCATAATGTTTCGTGTTTTGTGGTGAAGACTATTAAAATTCTAATTAACCTACCGCTATTGTTGCCTTAAATAATATATATATTTTTTTTCACAATGCATCTATAATACTAATGAATGAGTAAAGCTCTTTTTCCTTTTGCACATATATTTAACCGGGTCCATCCTATGTAATTACAGTGAATTCTACATGAAAATATGGCAATCATTGCATGGATGATGGCATAACATATTAGCATTACTAGCAATATTTGTTTTCTATATAATTATTTTGGATGAGTAGTACCCTATATCACTATAGATTACATTAGCATAAATAAAATATAGTTAGTGCTAATAGTGTCAAAATCAAAATGAGAGAGAGAGAGAGAGAGAGAGAGTCTTGGAGAAGGGGGAGAGAAAAAGGGGAACATATAAAGCACCTTCATATAGGGCCCATGACAAGTCCTCTCAATAGACCTCATCAAGATGTGATTTTCATCTTTTTCTCATTGCACTATAACCTATTCATTCTTCCACATCTCTCTTTCTCTCTGCCTTTGCTTCTTTCTTATTTTCCCCCTTGTCATTTCCCCATTTCTTGCCAAAAATACACAGGAATTCCGCCACCACCACCACAAATATCATCAAATCATGTCTGCACCTCATCATGATTACAGTCGACGAAAAGATTCCAACTCCATAGAGGGCTCCTCCTCCTCCTCCCGATCCAATCAACAACAAGCACCTCAACCTCTTAGCCGATATGAGTCTCAGAAACGCCGAGACTGGAACACTTTTGGCCAGTACTTGAAGAACCAAACACCCCCAGTCTCTCTCTCTCAATGCAACTGTAACCATGTCCTCGATTTCCTTCGCTACTTGGACCAGTTCGGGAAGACTAAGGTTCACTTACACGGCTGTGTCTTCTTCGGGCAGCCTGACCCTCCTGCCCCGTGCACGTGCCCGCTTAGGCAGGCATGGGGCAGCCTGGACGCGCTGATCGGCCGCCTCCGTGCGGCGTACGAGGAGCACGGAGGGTCGCCTGAGACGAACCCTTTTGGGAATGGAGCTATTCGGGTTTACTTACGTGAAGTGAAGGAGTGTCAGGCTAAGGCAAGAGGGATTCCATACAAGAAGAAGAAGAAGAAGAGAAACGGTCAGCTTAAGGCAATTAACGACGAGGCTAATAAGGGTTTGAAGCAGATCACTTCTTAAATTAGTTCCTTTGGCTTCTGAAGATATTGATGGTAATTTTTTTTAATTTTCTACCCAGTTATTTAAGTACTATACATATGATAGCTCTACTGCTTTGATTAGAAACCTATAATTCATGATCAGCTTCATTTTAATCAGATTTAAAAAGGAGATAATTAAAATGGGTTTTCAACAATTCTTGAAACTGGAGCTGAACAAACTGAAAGGAAAGTAGAAGAGGTGTAGTACTTTATTTTGAAAATTATATGATTTAACCATCCACTAAAATTTAAAACCTGTAGCCGCGGAGATCTCTCAATTAATCCATCACAAAACCCTAAACCCACAAAAAAACCCTAATTTGCAAAACCGATCGATTTCAAAATCATCTTCAAGCTCTCGCATAATTGACTAGCTAATAGAGTAGTGAGCGATAAAAAAAAGCTAAATAGTTTTGTAGGTAGGTAATGCTATGGCCCCTCTCTCTCTCTATATATTTTGAAGGCATGATTACATTCTCTCTTTCTCTCTCTCCCCCCCTCTCTCTCTCTCTATCTCTCTCCCTCTCTCTCTCTCTCAATCAGACAAAACTCTGTTTCTGTTGTGTCCTAATTAAATATGTCTCACTTGCTTGTGTACTTTTCATTTGTTATGATTCTGTGCGATCTAGCTGCTCCCCATGGTGACTCTATATCTATATACGTACGTTGCATGAGTTGTATATACTCAGGACGTGAGAATTAGCGTACGTACATCGCTGATACTGATATATATTTCTCATTATTATTAGAAAAAACAGTAAGATTCTCCCCAATCGATATCTTTTTTGTTTTTATATTTGTGGATGCATGCAAGTTTATATTATAATACTTTTCTTGTGGTGGATCCAAAACCATATGGAATTTATATGCATATGTTTCACTTTGTTGACAGACCATTTGTTTAGTTTGTTAAAGAATTCATTGCCTTTCTTACATTGCTTAAATATATAATCACTAATGCCTAAGATTGTTGTGATCAGTTAAAGTGTGTTTGCCTTATATTTTCATCTAATTGTACTCCATACGATTAGGACTCTATGTCATTTTAAAAAATCAAGTAGCTAGCTTGCATATTTAACTTTTTTTAGTTTCTTCTACAATATTTGACTGCATACATGCATAGCTTTGGTACTTATAGTTAGCTATAGATTGTGAGTCCATCTTGAACAATGAACACTGGAAACTAGAATTTGGAGGCAGACAAAATGAATTAATCATGATCATGGGTCTTATTCCAACTTTTGGTTGTCCGGCCAGTACTTCATGATCAAATGAACAGCTATCGATCATTCTTGAAGAGAAAGACATCCTTTTCCGGTTCAAAACCCCTCAAGTTTAGGAGTTCTTAGAGGTTGACCTATTTTAAGAGTAATTAAGATAATGTAGAGATAAATTATTATCTTCAAATTAAAGCTACAAGACTCCTTTGATCCTTTAGCTAACCCTTGGAGATGCTCATCTTGTTGTACAAAGAAAATATAAAACCAGTCATATTTTTTATTCAAATCAATACATGTCTTGCTTCATAGCCTCAAATACCATAAATCTTTTCATATCATCACACTTTTCAACAACTTCAATTCACAAGAAAAGAATAATTGTTTTTTTTTTTTTCACGATCAAATTACATTGACATTTGTTGAGAGTATCCCACATTAAAGAATGACAACTTTGCTTTAATGCTTAAATAGATTTTGGACCTCTTCACTCGATTCCAATCAATTTTCGATTGAATACACGCATTGTTAACAATATTGTTTTTAACCAAACCGTAACTATATATGTCACTCAAGTAGCTGCTGATAGCTTATTTGATGTGGGACAATTGTATATAATTTTTACGCACGGAATTTCTAGTTTTTACGTTTGATTCTTTGAAAGTTATTAGTTATTTTATACATTGACTTGCTGTACACCAGTACTTGAGTTGCTTGCGCTGGCCATGCGACTTTTTCCATCCAATATATATATATATATATATATATATATATATAGAGAGAGAGAGAGAGAGAGAGAGAGAGAGATGGATGCTATAACCTTTAAGAACTAGAAAGATTTGTTAAGATATATATGAGGCGTGTATCTTGGTTAAGGCTTATTGGGAATTGATTATTTCCTTTCAGCAGTTAATATCCCTGATAGGATCCTAAGATGTAAACACGATTGTACTATCAAAGAGAATAAGGAACAGTTGACCCAAAAATAGGACAGATGTAGCATGTACGGCTTGTAGCTTTCATATGCCGTACTTGTAGATTCATGTAATTCAGTTCTTTAATTGTATATTATGGACATAGCCTGACTGGAGTGTGTGTCATGATTTGAATGTATCGTTTTTACGGTCGTAATTCGTTGAGTCAAATTTAAACATCAACAATCTCTGTATACGTGTACTCTTTTCTTTACTTGAATGCTTGGACGAATTGAAAACGTTGTATGATAATGTTAATGTCACATTGTCAATTGTTTCATTGAACTTGTGCATGTATAGGAAGCACAAGTTATAGGACCAATGAATTCCCTTTAATTAAGATGTGAAAATCTTTAAATTTGTTATGAATTTTAACTAGATTGGTGTATTTTTGGATGTTCATTGCAGGATCACGCAAAAGATAATCTGGATGCAGGATATATAAATGGTGCATTTTATTTGGCAAAAAGACTCATCTCTTCATCATAATATCGTATTTCCCCCTCTCTTAAAAAATATAGTAATTATATATATATGTTAATTATGATGAGCCTAGCTAGTCCTAAATAATCTTTATATACTCGCACAGCAAGCTAGCTCAATGGTTTGTATTTGAATTTGTAGCCAATCAACAACACCACCTTTGTAAGCTCTAGTTACATATCCTAGACTTTTTCAAATTAAGTTATGTCTAGCTCTCCTGTTACAGCTAGCTTCCATAAACCAGGTACGTGCGAGAGAGTTTTTCTCTTCTGCTGGCACCTAAATTTTCCAGTCTTCTTCTGCTGCCATTTACTTGCCTGAGAAATTAATTTCTCCACAAATGTCCGATCAGAAATGGCTTTAAGAATAAGTATAATTAAGTTGTAAATTGATGTTATATATATGGTTAATTATGTGTTTCCAACCCATGCCACCCACGAACAAGTGTAATTACATCGTTTCACAGTTTTACCTTGTACAGTGACATGAATTTGATTACTTTAAGGAAATATTTTTGTTCACCACTTTAACCCAAGATATACCCTCATCATCTGTCTCAATACTTGACACGTGTTCATTAGCATAACCATAATTAACTCTTTGCTTATATATTTATGGAACCATGGTTATGCCCATGAACACATGTCAAGTGTTGAGAATGGTGGTGAGCAAAGATGCTCCCTTAAACCAACTTGATTTAACCTTGCAATGGTAATGAAAACATGTTAACCTCATAGCTATAGCTGCTAATTAATTGCGTGAGATTTTAAGAGCAAATCCACGTCACCATCATGGGTTAATTGTTTCTATCTTTCGAGGCATGGATTTCAAATTGGAAGGATAGCATCTCATAGCTTGCTTCTTTCTATATTATTCAAGTACACATATTTTATACACCACACTATATTATGACATATATGCATTTTAATTAATCATGCGGTTGGATAAGAAGCTTCCATAGCTCCACTCTCCCCCCATCCTGTGCCCCAAGAATTATTCACCAGCCAATACTTAGTTCCATTACTACTAGTCCCGTATCAACTGCGGTAACACCATGGTCTAAGTTTGTACTGCATGTTCCAGTGAACACATCACTTGAATAAAACTGGAATGTAGAGCCACTTGCGTCAATGGCAACCGAAATTGGTTGGTTGGCGACGAAATTGTTTGGTTGGCGACGGCTTGCAATATAGCATTTTCATCGTTTTTGGGCACATCCTCGTACCTGTTTATGGACACTATTTGGGATGCAGCCTTCTGGGTGTTGCAACTAGTTCCATCTACACCCTAGTAGGGGTAATTAGCTTCAGTTGTCAGGCCTTTGTTGTGTTGGATGAATTGGAAAGCGTCATCCATTAGATCACCTTCACAACCATGATCTTGACCAGCAGTGTCACAATCCAAAAGCTCTTGCTCTGATAGTGGGATTAAGTTTCCGGTTCTGAGCTGGTTAACCCCTTCTGTGGCTGCCACGGCTGAGAACTCCCAACAACATCCTATAAAATTGGAACAACATGCGTTATCAATTCAATAACATGTTATGTTATGAAACTGTGAATGCGTCATCATTTAACAACTTGTTTAATACTTACCACATTTGCCTTGGTCCTTGATAGGCGTCACTGCACCCTTTTCTCTCCAATCCGCAGGAGGTGGCGCATCAGTGACATTTCCATATCTAAAACTTGTAGCTTTCATGGAATTGGACACGATCAATTTGGAGGATCGTTTCGTGTAACCATTACGAATTTCCCAAAACTCCTCATTGGTTAGGTCTGCAAATTCATTTAAGCTTAGAGTGAGGTTCTGGCCCATGTGTTTGTTAAAATAATCTTATTTGTACTGAGGTCTGCAAATTCATTTGTACTGACTTCCAACCTTGGTTAAAGAATAATATTCTTTCCAAGGCTAGTTGGTCTGGCAGTACCTCTTGGTGCTCTGTGTTTGTTTTCATCTGTTGGTACCTATGGAAATGGAGAAACCAATCTATTTTTACCGTTGAGGAGGTGACGCCCTTCAACCCAAGGCAACTTATCTTATCAGCTCTTTCTGAATGGAGTAATGCTTCTTGTGGTGATACTATAGTTGGAGAGAGTGCAGATTTTTTAGACGTGGGAATCTCCTAATACTGGAATTTTCAAGTTGAATGTGGATGGATCTTGTAAACCTACATCTGGTAATATTGGAGCTGGAGGTGTCCTCCGCGACTCCTTTGGAAATTGGATTAAGGGTTTTGCTGTGAATATGGGAAATGGCCAAGTTCTTGAAGCTGAGTTATGGGGTCTATTTTTTGGTCTCAAAATGGCTTTGGATAAAGGTGTCAACAGGCTCATCATTGAAATGGACTCAGCACTTTGTGTCCAGCTTATCCAACAAACCGTAGCCTATCGTTTCCATCCTCTGGCTGGCTTGCTGCGTAGCTGCGGTACTCTTCTAAGGCAATTTGAGAACCATCAGATTCAACATGTCTACATGGAGAAGAATTATCTTGCTGTCTTGCAAGATGGAGCTACAATCTTGATTTAGGCATTTGCTTTTTTGAAAATACCCCTGTGGGGGCTAGTGATGTACTGGTTGATGAATTGCTAGGGGTCCCTCGGGTCCGTCAGATTCCCTTTGACAAAGTCTAGTTGTTCTCTGGGGTTTGTCACCCCCATTTCATAAATAAATAAATAAAAAGCGCCTCAATGAACTCCAAGTTGGCCTTGAATATCACGAATTGCCTCTCTTTCTCTTCTGCATCCTTATAAAAAAAAAAACTGGCCCAAATTGAGCCATCCAGTCTTCATGTCTCGCCAACATGGTTTTCTCATCATAAATTTGGCGAGACGATGCTTGAGAGCATCTCCAGCGCTCTTCGGGCTAGGGGGGAAAGGCTGCCCGACGCAGCCCGAGTGCACTCCAGCGCAGGGCCCGTAGCCCAGTTTGGTGGCGGGTCCCACGAGCCCGAGGAAGCCCAAGGGCAAGTCTTGCCCCGGGTGAAGCCCGAGTTGGGGACGCCCG